TTCGCCCTGCGGACAGCCTCTGGCGGCCATCGCTCTAACCACCGCATTATTAAGCTCTGCGGACACTCGGCGTTGCGAGAGCATGGCCTCTATCCATCTCACCAGACATGGCTCTAAGCCACGCCCTTCGAGTGCACCGTCGATGATGTTGAAAGGGGTATTATAAAATGCCCCTTCAATGTCAAGGAATGCCGCCAGACTAGCCCTTCCACACACCAGATTTCCTTCTACCTTCCTGACCAGGTGGTGCAAGGCCAGTTCTGTGGATTTGCCAGTCTGATAGGCGTATTGTTGGGTATGTAAATGTCTGGAAACCAGTATGCCTTCCTTCACATACCGGTCCAGTAGCCTCTCCGGAGTCTTGAGCAGGAAACTAGTGAGGCTAATGGGTCGATGCGATTTTGGGTCGGAGTAGTCGCTCCGTCCGGTTTTCGGAATGAAGACGACCTTCACTGCTCTGGAATGTATCCATGAGCCAGGCAAGATCTGAAATTCTTTACCAGGTGGACAGTGATGATATCCGACGCGTTTTGCAGCTGGCAAGGGTGGATTCCATCCTTACCAGGAGATTTAAAGGGGGGAAAGGACTTAATCGCTCATATCACCCTCTCATAACTTACTTTTTTGGCGGTGTCGTGCCCAGCGCTAATCGGGGCCCGAACGCCGGCCAAGACAGTGTTGTTTGAACTGGAGCCCGGGAAGTGCGTGCGGAGCATGACCTCCAGGGTTTCCTGTTCGTTGGTCGTGAAGCCACCGTCCGGAAGAGACAGTGACCCTATTCTACTACCGGGTCCCTTTGACAGAGCCTTGCAGAGGCGAGCTGCTGGGGATATTTTTTCAACATCCCCGCAGTATTGCCTCCAGCTCTGTCTTTTGGAATCCCTGAGTGCCTTTTTGTACTGCCTTTGGGCTGCGTGAAACGCTTCCCAGTCGGCGACGAGTTTGGAGCGTTCAGCCCTTCTCAAGAGCCGGCGCGTGATGTTCCGATGGAATTCCGTAGTGTGGTTCCACCAGACATTTTTTGCATTTTGGGGTTTCCGTCTTAGTGGACAGCTACCCTCGTATGCCCGGAGAGTTGCGCTGGACAGTTTGTTTATCCCAATCTCAATGTCGGCTGGAAGGTTATACCTTGCCGGCATATCCGAGAGCCCACCTGTGAGCTCCTCCCGAAAGAGGTCCCATTTGGTGTGCCTCGGATTTCTAAAGACTGGGTTGTCGCAGCTGGTGTCTTTATTCAGCTCGAAGAGAATGTGCCTGTAGTCCGACATTGAGACCTCCAGGGACACTCTCCATGCTTTAAAAAGGTTCACAATATTTGGTGAACAGATGGTTAGGTCAATCACAGATTGGCCACGGTTGCAGTAAAAGGTAGGGACGCTTCCCCGATTAAGGACCTCCAAGCCGCGGAGCTCAGGAAGCCAGCCAGAGAGCGTCCCCTGGGGTTCTCGTCTCTGCAGGTCCATAGGCCGTGGTGCGAATTGGAGTCGCAGCCTATGAGCAGAGTGAGCCCCGTGCTTTCACAGTACCTTGAGACTGCAATGACGTCCGGAGGAAGAGATTCGATATCGATAGGAAAGTAGGAAGAGCAGACTACAAGGTCCTCCCTGACTCCTTTTCCCAGCGAAACTTTAATAACTGCCAGGTCCTAGGTAGGGGAAAACATTGCACGTTCCTTGTCAGGATGCAGGCGCGATGGTTCTCACAGGGTACGCAGCAATGTAGCGCGCCCCCCGCCAGACCCAAGCCCCTCACCGCGCCCCGGAAAATCCAGGGTTCCTAGATCAGGGCAATGGAAATGTCTAGCTCGTTGAGGCTTTTGCACAGGACAGCAGAAGATGCTTTTCCGTGCTGTAAATTTGCCTGTAGAAATTTTATTGGCATGTATAATATGATTAAGTTATATGTTTAAAATCATACACGGTCGCCTAACGATCGAACCGGTTGACAATTAGTTAAGTTAGTTACCAGCAGCAGATGTTGGCCGCTTGCAGGGGTGAGGGAAGATCAGGTTTAGTCCTCGGAACTGGAGGAGCCCTCCTCCATTTCCTCTGGCCTATCTCCTGGCTTCACGGCGTCGGAGGCCACTTGGTCGGTGCCTGTAGCCTCCTCGTTTATGGCAGTTTCCCCGTCGGTGTCCTTAGGAGGGCCACTGCCCTTTTTGCCTTCCATAAGGGAGATAGAGGCCCTGGTGATGCTATAAAATAGCGAGCTACCCCTCTCCCTTATGTCTTTGGCCGACTTTTCGTCGACCCCAACCACGAGTCTGAGGATTTTAGCCTCCTCCTTGCGCTCCCATACCCTCCATTGGGAGTACGGGAGGCCAGGGTTCTGACTTTCCAGGACCTTTAATGTGTCCTGGTTAGACTGTTGTCTTCTACCAGGAACCCGTGGGATCGCCCGATGCAGACGCAGTATGGAGGGGTCCACTGTGACCAGCGTGACCCCCTCCCAGGGAGTGATGTTTGGGAGCTCCCTTCGGAGCCACTCCAAACTTTCACGGTTCGCGGCCGTGACCAGGATGTGGTTCCTGACTAGCCGGAGGGGAAGGAACTGCGGCAGTTGAGACCCGCTGCTGCCCGATGGTGAGCGCAACAGAGCCTCAGTTACTGCGTCGATGAAATCGAGCAGTTGCTCGTCCGTAAAACCGGTATCGGGTTGTTCCGCCCGGGTTACGGCTAGCTGCAGTCGTACGCTGCCTAATGATTGCGCATAGCTCGCGCTGGGCCCAGCTACCTGGGTGGTTTTGGGTCTTTTGGCACAGCTCGCGCGCTCGATAGGCGTAGATCCTGAGGTTCTTCGCCGCTTCGCGTGCGGGCCCTGTGCCTCTTTTGTGGTCCCGCTCGTGGGGGCAAGGGTGGAAGCAGGGGCAGCCATGCAGGCCGGGGTCGAAGAGCCCTGAGCCGTTTCGGAAGCTCTAGCTTTCCTCCTTCTCTTCTTCTCCGCACCGCTTATGTTGCGGCGATTAAGCCGAGCCCTGTTAAGGGCGCCAGCGAGGTCGTCAACATTCGTTGCCTTGGAAGGGCCATCCGTGGACGGTCCTTCCGATGAAGTGGGTGCCGAGATCCCTGGTTGGACAGAGCTCTCGGGGGGATTTATTGCCGCCGAGGTCCCTGCTTGGGCAGAGCTCTCGGAGAGGGGCCGGACAGCTATCGCATTCCCTGTTTTCACAGACCCTGCGACGGTGCTGGAAGGAGAGGTAGCGGGAGTAGAGGGGGGAGAGGTTCTTGGTTTTTGGTTTTTTGGTAAATGGTCCATAGTAAGTCCCACGAGTGGCAAGGGAAATAAGGTCCGCTACGACAGAGCCCGGCATGTCGCAGTAAGGCTAATTACTGCGGAATGTCGCCTGGTTTTCCGCAGGCATCGTTCACGATACCTGATTGGGGCTCAGGTATCATACATCCCTCGGCACGGTAGCTTCCACCTTGCCCACAAGGCGAGCTCAGGGAGAGGCGGCCGTTGGGCCCCCCCACCAGCGTCAAGGACCCACGGCTCCTCGGAGGGAGGCAAATTACATTTTTTTTTCCATTTTCAGTGATGTTCGGAGCCATTTTACTTGCGATAAAAAAATTTAATGGAAAATCTGAGATAGAGGATCGATAGTTTGGCATTTCGACTTATCAGTGGACTTATCAAAATAAATATAAGAAAATTATCCTCAATCCGCCAGACTGCTCTAGAAACATCCCCATTTTGCTTGACAAGGGTATTATGCCGAAACGACCCATTGGACCGGGCCCAAATTTGGGCTCAATAAAGCCTGTCTCATCTACTATGTATGTGTAAAAAATTAATTGTCTAGCATGAAAATTACAAAATTTAGGAATTTTTTACGAAAATCTCTTTTTGGGGGGGGAAAAATCATTTCTCAAAGACTAAAAGACCTACATGGTTGTATGATGGCTCATTTTAAAGCTTGTTCAATGCTCTAAAACTATTGCCAGAGTAGCAAAACCATCCGATCATTAGTTTTCGAAATACTGTGAAATAAACAAAAAAAAGCCCTATTTTTGCACTAAATATTGTTTATAAAATCCCCTAAAAGTAATTAGATGTTGCATTTTTGGTTTTTAGCATCTATAAATGATCCTTAACAATACTGCATCAATAGTTTGCTGTTAAATTTTATGGTACGAAAAAATTTATCTGCCCTGGCCTAGAAGTGACTCGCCATAACTTGACATCAGACTCATTTTATATAACCTAATCTTCTGGATAATTTCCTTTTAGGAATTTCTGATGAACGTCATATCTTGATCGTTCTATATTCTAATTTCATTCTCGAAAAAAGGCTCTTTCTGTTATTTGAAGCCTGGGCGTCCAGACTTTGTATTTGGGAGGTCATCTACAAATTGAATCCTGAACAAGTATGGATTTCTTGACGATCCTTTTCGCAATCTTTGTAATTTCGGTCGGTTAATTTACAGCAAAGCCCTTCACAAATGGTCTCATTGTAGGATCAGTAAAAGGGCAGAACTAGAACTTATATTGTTGCGATTGCTTTTATAGAATGTTTTCTTCAAAAAATAAATTGAAGTTGTGTAGTTTTTTAGATAATGCGCCCCTATTGGAATTTCGGATAAACGTCGGTTCTCAATCGTTCCGTAATTCGCTAGATTATTCCATCAACGTTAAATTCAATTCTAGTGAAATCTGGGATGTGATCAATAAGTATAGGTACTCCGGATTAAAAGTTTTTAACCGAATGGAAGGCAACAAGTCAGCACTTTGATAGTTTTAGAAAAAGTCTTGTTTGGGTTAGTCTGAATTATTAGTACCTATGCGTGTGACAAAACTAGGTTACAACTCTTCGCTTGTCATAGATAAAAAACACAAATGTGAGCCTCGGGCGGTAAACGCTTACTTTACGACCCTAAATATAAAAAAATAGGCTATTCAAGCCCAAAAGCTTATCATAAGACTTAGAATTTGTCATAACTACCAACCTAATACGTATTTTTCTGTTTGTTTCCAGATGTAAACGACAACCCCAAAATTCAGCGATGTCCTTTTTTGAAAACGACACCGCCATTCGTATACACATAAAACGCATCCTGTCAGCCAGAGGCTCATTAAACATCACCGAAGCTCTTGTGGATCGTGTATTAAACATCCACAAAAACAATTTATTAGCAAACAAAATGGAAGAATATAACAATAAAACAGAAACAATGAGCGATCTTATAAACACTCACGAATGCGGTGGCAGGCTGAAGCTATGGGCAACAACTTACGCAGAATACCACCCTTATTGTGCTGTTTTAGTTTGCATATTAGGCATTATAACTAATTGTCTAAACATAATTGTTTTAACGAGAAAAGATATGGCAACTGCGCCGATTAATAGGATTTTGACTGCGCTGGCATGGGCTGATATGCTACTCATGTTGGAATACATTCCTTTTACTGTATACGATAAGCTCGATTCCCAAGAAAAAGAGCTTACCTATAATGGAGCTGCATATGTTTTGTTCCACATACATTTCACTCAAGTGTTGCATACGACGTCTATTTGCTTGACTCTGACGTTGGCAATTTGGAGATTTCTCGCTATAAGGTAAACGCATTTAAAATTTTCATATCAAGTTGCATTTTTCATACAATATTTTGACATAATTGACAATAATGCTCGGATTTTTAAAACTGCGCTTCTCCCAAGGTTTTTTATTTGATTTTATTGGTTATGAAGTCATTTGATGGTAAACTTACAATAGATTCTATTATCATTTTTTGATAAATTCGATTTTACTAAGAGCCTTATGCAGCCTGCCTATTGAATTTGAACATGAAAGGTTTTATATAAATATTTAAAAATTATCCATATAAACATATGCAAATAAAGGTTCTGCCCCTAATAGGATTGCCCTTATCTAAATAAAAAATTGCGCTTTGTCTGGCCCTTTATGGAAATTATGGCTTGAATGATGTTTTTTTTTTTTGAGTGGCTTAAAGCGTATTCTTCTGCTAGACAACAAAAAGAAAAAATGGAATGTTATATTTACCTTAAGAAGATTGTCTTGCTTTATTACCTTCAAGCATACAGAGTGTCCCACGGTGGATGGCGTGGGTACGTTTATGGAGAACTGAAAAACAGATCATTTTAAAAATTTGGCAACCGGGATAAACGAACATAAGCTACACTTTAAAAATATTTTTGTTTACGCAGTGTTGCCGCTTCTACTCTAAACCAGTGGCAACATCGCTATTTTAAAACACCCTGTATGTGATTGCACATTTGGATTCTACGTAAAATTGTGAGTAGATTTCATGTAATATACCCTATACCTAAGTTCAACTGTTTTGGAAATATTCACAGTTGAAAATTGACTTTTTGCAACTTTGACAGGCTATAAAGCCTGCACGGTTAATTTTAGAGGAAAACCGATTTCACATTCCTATCTAAGATTTTTATAAACTATCATTTGACATCAACTGTGAATTTAATCCATGATTAAAAATTCTAATTAAATTTAATCTCCGGTTAAATTCAAAGTTGGTGTCAAATGATAGTTTATGAAAATCTAAGATAGGAATGTAAAATCGGTTTTCTTCTAAAATCAACCGTTTAGGTTTTACAGCCTGTCAAAGTTGCTAAAAGTCAATTTTCAACTGTCAATATTTCCAAAACAGTTGAACTTAGGTATAGGGTATATCGCATGAAATCTGCTCAGAATTATGCGTAGACTCCAAATATGCAATCACCTACAGGGTGTTCCATTTAAAATAGCGATGGTGCCACTGGTTTAGAGTAGAAGCGGCAACACCGCATAAACAAAAATATTTTTAAAGTGTAGATTATGGTCGTTTATCCCGGTCCAAAATGATCCGCTTTTTAGTTCTCCATAAACGTCTGATACGCCATCCACCGTGGGACACCCTGTATACATGTATGTATTTGAAATATGATTCAATTTTTGTATCACAGCTATGTTCTTCTATATGCTGATGATATTTTAGGGTTTATAAAATCATTAATTATCCTAATGCATCAATGTTACTTCAAGAAGACCTTAATCAGTAATAGAAGAATGTTTCTAAATTCTGATCCAGTTTAGTAAACAAATCACTACTAAAGTCAGCTTATAATGTATTTGCTACCAAGCTTTAATCTTGACAGATGTTCAGAGGATTTTAAATACATGAAATTTTGCTCAGAAAACTGTTACATACGGAAGTTTTGTCTGATCTTAGTTATTATAGGTACCTTGTCACTTATGTTTGTTAGTTTTTATCAAACACTAGGTAGGCACCTATTGTCATTGTCCGTCGTTTTTAATCTGACACTTTCCGTATGAAAAGTGAGGAGGTGAAGCCATTGACATCTCAACACAGATAGACATTACAGTAAAGAAAATTTTGTGCTGCCAACATCTAGGATAGCGATCCAACACCGGTGTACCCCCTCCAATTTGGATGCCAAATTCTAACGGATTGATATTTTATCCTGTTATGACAGTTATGACTTTGCTTTCAAAAAACTGGAGTTTCCAAAACTAAAAACGACTATTGGCAACAGCGTCGCCACCTTTTTTTAGCGAATCTACCAGCTTCTTTGTCTTAATCTACTAAAAATCTACTGAAACAATTTTGAAAAATACCAAAAATCTACTCTCAATCAATAGGTCTGTTTCTGCAGAAATCACAAACCAGAGTGAATTTCATTGGTTGAAACTAGTTTTCTGACTGCTTTCAACCAATGAAATTCGCTCTGACTGGTTACTGGTTTGTGATTTCTACAGAAACAGACCTTATGTCTCATATATTTTGTATACGTATGAAAAATGTTCGTAATTTATTTAATAAGAAAGTCGGAAAATATTAGGGAGTTGGGGAGATGGTTTACAGTCGTAGTCTGTCATAGCGATTTTAATTTCTAATGATATATTTCCGTCTTACTCTTTCCAGCGTCACTAAAAAAATATGACAATATATTAGCGCCGTACGGGTTCTACAGATAAAAAACGATATTAAGGAATAAAGTCCAAAACAAGACATATGTTCGCTTCATAATAATTGCTCTTACTATCACTATATCACTAACTCAGATATAACTTAACTATTATTAATCATATGCACTAGTTATATGGCAATTGTAAGCAAACACATAAATCTTCGGCCATTTAGGGGAAACACCAAAAACCGATACGCGCCGTGAATCAAGCCGTTTAGTCACTAATTAAGTAGTGACATAACCAATTAATTTTTCTACAATCGATATATCGAACTGTATGTAACAAAGTGCAAACTACCAGAATCTACTAGATTTTCTACTAGAAATTCTGCCTACTAAAATTTTACAAAAAAAGTTAAAAATCTACCAGAAAAGTAGAAATCTACCAAAGGTGGCAACGCTGATCGGTAATGCCAGTTTTATGAAACAGGCGGAGGTTGCGCACTTGGGTTGCGCATTAATCAGTTAACATGTCGACACGCCCATCGAACGTTTATCATATAAGTTAAAGGCAGATAGATAGATAGATAAACGAATTGCACCCGTGCGCATTTTTTCAATATTTTGGTCAAGGGAATGACGGGTTCAGAGAGAAAGACTGGTAAAAATTAATTGGCAGCGGCAGTGGGAAAAAAAAAGGTTAATGTAAACTACACAAACAGGTCATTCCTCAATATCTTCTCGCGACTGCGACTCCTCGCGATTTTGAATTCTTCCAAGAAGGGCGTTGATAGTGGCAGTGAGGCTATGATCCACGACGCGATTGTCAAATTGCCTAATTTCCGCAGTGATCGCCTCACGATTAAAATCATCCAGAGCAACACAGAATCCGTGCATTACGACCTGAATTGCTAGAGGACTCAGCTCGCGTAATGCAGGTCTGATATGGCTGTCCATCAGCCTCACAATGAAGTCTTCAGTATCTTTAGGAGTAGCCATTTTTTTTATTTATTTTCACGTTCTACAGCAATTTAGCTGTGTCGGGACCTCAAAATCAAGGCAGTTTTATGGCCAGACCCTTTAGAAATTATTAATTATCAATGACATATTAACACAGTATGTTAAGATGTCATTGAAAATTATTATACTCTTCAATTTGCGATAATAAACTAGAAACGAGACGCCACTGGTCTCCGCGATGTTTTCCATCAGGCCTCCACAGCTTTTGGCATTGGGCGGATATTGTTTACGACTCTGATCTACCCCCCACCATGACCCCCCTCGAGCAGCTCACCTCCCCTGGCCCATGGGGGTTCTTGTCATCACAACAAACATCAGTTTATGAATGAGATGTGGTGTCTATCTGTGTTGAGATGTCATTGGGTGAAGCATATGGCAAAAAAAGGTGTGACGTTAGGCTACCATTGGCGTCCTAACGTAGGGAGCCACCAGCTCACATTCCTTTGGAGAATCAGATTGAAATCGACGAATTATATCTATCTGTTTGCGCAGACCAAAAAAGAGTTTTTAAGTATTTTTTTTTCCTCCATATTGTCACGGTGGCACTCTCGACAAATAGCACAGAATCTAACTTGAAATCTAGAAAATACTGCTTTATCCAGGCAAAGAGATTATCGTGCTTATTCTGGATTTTGTAACATTTGAAATGTCACAAGAACATATTTCTTGTGATATACAGTGTGTCCCACTTTTCATGAATACACCCCGATATCTCAGTTATTAATAATGCGATTTTATTCAAATTTTGGAGGATATTGTATGTTAGAAAAATGAACTATTTGACGTAGTAAATATTTTTGTTTACCATTGGCGTGCGGTGTTGGGGGGTGAAAAGGTATTGTTTTTTTGGGAAAAAGATATTAGGGCTTAATTTAGATAATTTTTTGCATCAGATTAAGAATCAGCATCCCCAAAAACCCCTTAATTCATATTTTTCAAGGGATGATTTTAGCATAAAAAAATAAATTTATTTTAATTTATTTTTTCTAAAAGGCTGTTTCTTTCTAATTAGGGGGTTGTTATATTGAAAATACAATATTCTAAAATAATGTTATTAGTAATTTGGTTATCACAATTAGAAATAAACAACTTATTAGAAAAAATTAATTAAAATATATTTTTTTTTTTTGTAAAATCAGATCTTGTCATTTTGAAAATATGAATTACGGGGTTTTTGGGGATGCTGAATTTTAATCTGATATAAAAAATTATCTAAAATAAGGCCTAATATTTTTTTCCCAAAAATACAACCCCTTTTTACCCCCAACACCGCACGCCAATGGTAAATAAATTTTTTTACTGTCAATTAGTTCTATTTTCTAACGTACAATCTTCACCAAAATTTGAATAAAATCGCATTATTTATAACTGAAATATCGGGGTGTTTTCATGAAAAGCGGGACACACTGTATATATATTTCTTAATTAATTTCATGTATTTTGGACTCATTTAAATTTCTATTTCGTACACCTGGCGACATCTATGATTCTTCTGACTAGTTTCCTAACCCAATACCGAAAATTATGGGCTCTGTAATGAAAGAGCGCTGCACAAAAGAGCGCTGTAACAAATGAGCGCTGTAACAAAAGAGCGCTGTAACAAAAGAGCGCTGTAACAAAAGAGCGTTCCACAAAAGAGCGCCGCA